GCTGCTACCCATTCTCTAAGAGACTTCTGCTGCTTCATTCCAATCCTTTTTGTCTATAAAAATGCCAAAAATGTATTGGCACTTCATAATATGATTTTGGTCTTTTCTGCCAGATAGATGTTCATGTATTATGTTATAGGTTTTAAGTTCTCTGACTGTTCCTATGGGAGAGACGACCTGTGTATGCTCGTGAAATGTTGCTTCCTCATTTCCACCAAATCAATCACTTCAAAATATGATTTAATCTTCTCAGAAGGCCATCTTAAACTTAGCTTAGTACAGCAGCTTAGTACACCACCTATTTCCATGCAGTATCCTGAAACACTGGCTATTATAAATAAAGTACTGTGATCTCAATTAAGAGTGAGATATCTGTGTTTCCTGTATTAGATATTACTATAGAGAAAGAGGAAAAGATCTTGTATTGGACAGTAAAAATCTCACCATAGCTGTTGAAACAGGATCTGACATGAAACAAATAGTTCACTAAGTCTGGATTCATTTCTAGTGCCAAGTTGCCTTTTTTGTGGCTACCTTCTTCTACAGTGCAAAAACATGAGGCATGAATTGGAAAAGAAATGTCTCCCAAACACACCACTAGACTGAAGACATTACAACTACAGTATGTGGGGAGGCAGTCATTCATCTGGACAGCAAAGGATACCGGCAGAATGAGCAGGGGTAACTGAGAAACCTGGTTTGAACTCTTTAGAACATCTGACTTATTGCAATCCACCCATTATGAATGAATATGTGATCTTTCAGGTGGGTCTTCTTTTTGTCTCTTCACAGTGTGACAGTGGTGAGAAGAGCCTTTCAGCAGGGAGGGCAGTGTATGTTTTTTCTGTAGATTTCAGCACCAGTATTTCTGCCATCAGTTACAGCTTTTTGAATGCAAATAACCAACCTCATCTTCCATCAAACAGCTACTTTGTGAGAAGCAGGATTACTCTAATTAATCCCAATATGGGTCAGGATCATTTCCAAGAGCACCAAGTCCAGATATTTGCTGCTGCTGCTTACACCAGCAGTCTCTAAATCAGCACTCACAAAGCTACAGGCTGCAATTGCAACCCAAATGTGATGCAACCAGTTTAAAACTGCAAAATGTTTCCTAACATCTCGAGTATCTTGGGATGGCATCGACATGGGCTCACATCTGTATGAATCAAACTGTGATTGCAAGGAGCTATGAAGAGAAGCCTTTGCTGCAGTGCAGTTGCCCTGTATGCACTGAGGATGATTGGCCTCAGGCAACAAGATCAGATGGCTCTGAATAGGAAATCCTGAACGTCAAGTCCTAAACACTGGAAGCAAGAGATCTGACTGAGATACACTGGTGAGAGACGAAAGGCAAGTGGACTTGCTGTGCTTCTGCTTCGATCAGATCATTTTGGTGATAGCCACTGGCACACACAAGGATCCAAAAAGCTTTTTGTTTAACTCTGGTGCAAGGAATTGTAAGCAGCAATACAAGATAAATATTTAAAAATAAACGCAAGGTCTTCTTCCCAGCCTGCACAGGGTTATGGTCTAAGATTTTGCAGGAACATTTTGCAGTGCCCAACATAACAGCATGATTTGACTGGAGCTCTAGCAAGCCAGCGTTCTCATGGAGCTGCACCAGTTATACATACTAACCTTCTCCTCCTCCTATCATCACCCACTTTCCATGGACGTGCCACTGATGTAACTCAAGACTTTTCTGAGAGCCATGAGAGATGGAAAACAACAAGCAAAGATTGCCTTACTTGGAAGTAAAATTCATCCTCGGATAGCTGCAGTGGAGACTGGAAAGTTTACAGGCTCCCTGGGGTATCTCAGAAGGTACAGTGGAGGATAAGGAAATTTTTTCAGAGCTTTCTGTCAGCATCCAGCACCTTGGCAAAACATACTTACTAATGACTCCAAAAAACTAAAAATGGCTAGGAAGGGGAGCCCAAAGACTATACACCAGCTTTGCTATTAATTCAACCACTCAAAGAAATTCTAAGCTCACTATGTAAACAAAGTCATTAAAGTTTGTGAAGACAGACTTTTTTCTGAACAAGGACTACTGAAATTGGCACTGTGGGCTTCTGTGTGATGTATATCACTGGCTCCAGATCCAACTTGTTCAATCTACAATGAATGATACTTGCTTTCTAATTCTCAGCTTTTTGGTTGAAGCTGGAGGGCTTTCCAGTTTATGTATTATCTTGATTTTTATTTTTAATGTAAAGGCTCTTCAGAACCTATTAGAACCTTAATTATACAAGCTATTCTTCAGTAAGATAGACATTAATACCAGATTAGATGGTAGTAAACAGTTCTCTAAATCCTGCTTCAAAAGAAACAGAATCCAGTTTTTTTAAAGCTGTGCTGATTTTATAAGGCTTAATGGCAGCACACAAAGTGATAAACCTTACTTGTCACTAAACTGATTTGGCTCTGAATACACACAAGGAATAGATCAGCTAGGCATTTAGGTTACAGCTGCATTTTCTATGTAAAGATTTTAATTTTTAGAAGGTAAATTTAATCTTACAAATGAACTTCACAGATAAGAGTTTAGTCTTTCTGACAATAGCAATGCCTGTTCCCCTGCTAAGATGGGTGGAAACATAAAATATTCCACTCCAATGTGCATTTCAACTTTATTATGAGCCAACTTATTTCTTCTATTGTGAAATAGAAGAACTGTTGGCAGCAGTTTTCTAGTTTGCACAGGTAGGGTTGGTACAGCAACTGTTACATTGTTTAGATATTGGCAGCTCCTATGACACACCTTGGCTGTTCAAACATTAACTTGTTTTTCAATGCCAATGGCTGTATGCAAATCACTTCTCAGATTGATGATCACTGCTAGCAGAAGATGAGATAACATTTAAAGGACTAGACAAATTTGTCTTGCTGTTAATTATAACATTCAGTGGTTTATAGTGGGTGAAAAGATATTCCTCATTCCCACCAGAGCTTTCAGATGGCTGAGCATCTGATTGGCTCTTCCTGCTCCAGTGTTAACTCTTTTTGCTAAAATGACATTCTGTGCTCACACTCAGAATACAGAACAACGTGGAGGTCAAAAACCCCACAGAATATAGTTTTACAGTTCTTCATGCACTATTTGCTATTACTGGATGAACATTGTGTCAACTTCAAGGGGGGTTTCTGATTCTTGGAATCACAGAGGACAACTTGCCAAAAATAGGCTAAGTGCTTGCATCATTCCTTTTCACTCCCCTGTCTAAATCATGGGTTCCTGCACGAGGAACAGCTCTTCACTCATATGAGAGGGTGGAGTTCAGCATGATGCAGTCACCACTGCTTATGCTGTTTGTGACTACACCAAGAGGAGTGTGATTTAAAGGAAGCAGCTCCGTTAAACCCCTATAAGCCATTCTTTCTCTTCTCTCCCTTTCTCTCTGTGTTGTCTATGCTGTAGCTGCCACAAAACAGTCTCCCTGATGGCCTTCACCTTGTCCTCTTGGTCCCTTGTTGGATTGCTGCTGACATTATGACAGCTGGAGGGCCTGCATGAACTGAGAGCGAGCAGTGATGCTCTCTGCCTAAAGGATGCAGAGTACTGGCTGGTTATCTCTGAAGCTCAATTAACTTGCAAGCAATCAGCAGAACTGGAATTTTAGTATTTTTGTATGATGTGAATGCCAGATACAGGCAAGAAACAAAGCGTTGAGGAAGAAGAGGTATTTGCTGTCTGATGCCTTCAAGAAGCTGAAGGTTTGCCTACAACTGAAATGAGTCACAAGGAGATCAGAAAAGTCAAATAAGAAATCAAACAAGCTCCTTTCAGAGCAAAGGAAAAGCTCCCACCAGCAAAGCTGCAACTTAAGGGAAAGAGACCATATGAAATACAGGAAACAGGCCAAATTCTGCCTCAGTTACACATGCATAAACCTAATACTACCTCCACCATGACAACTTCCCTTTATGGTTACAGACTCCACAACAACTCCAGAACAACTTTCTTCAGTTTAGGAAGAGGTGGCGTGGCAGTTGCAGGTGGAGAGCAGTAGTAGCTGATCACTTCCTCATCATTTTGTCTTCCCTTTCACAGAGATATCTGAATTCAACCTTGGTACCAGAATGGAAATCTAAAGGGAACAGAGTTCTCTCATACAGAATCTACACAAGATATAAGACAAAAACTTCTCTCATAGCAAGTGGGTATTCCCACTATTGTATTTGGAGGAGTGAGTAGGGGCACAGGTAATGAAAGAAAGAACCCAGTACACGTGTATTCACAAGGGAAGGAAGCCTAGGGGCAAGTTAACCAAAATTCGCATGACTCCAAGTAAGTTGAGCTGCAAGTTTTGCAGGAAACTTTTTTCTTAAACCTAGCAAAATTCCAGATCTTCAGTAGGTTCACTACTCTTCCAGTGAGAGACATAACATTATTCCCCGAGATCAGAGTGGAATTATGACAATTTACACTAGCTAAGTGTCTGTCAGATAATATGAAGTGTGTCTTGTGGAGGATTTAAAAGGGTCATACCCCAAGGATATCTGGGGAAGAAGGGGTTGGATGCAAAATAGAATTAAATAATGTCGCATTCCTGTCTCAATAAATAGCAGGAAACCAAGGGAGACAGCAGCTAGCAGGGCAGCATTCAGCTTCAGAGCAGAAAAGGGACTCAAGAATCATGAATCAACGGCAGCAAGTAAAGAAAAGAGTAAAAAAAATCAGGAAAGAAAAGAAAATCACTGGCCTGGGTTACAGTGAGGGAGGGAATCTCATGTTTGTGCTATGAAGGGGAAAGCTGTGGTGGAGCCTGTGCATCTGTGCATGGATGGGGAGGAACAGAAAAAGGGGTATATGCTTGAGTCCTCCAGGTGAGTGAAAGACATAGTGGGCTGTTACAGTGTGGGCAGTCTTGAAAAGAGCGAGGGAGAGCAGGGATAGGGAAGGGGAAGAGGTGGAAGGGACAGGACGGCGCATTATTATGTTGCTCAGCAGGGGCTGGGGAAGGTGAAAAGGCAGAAGGGAAGGAAGTTCTTACCACATTTGGAAAGTCTGCCAGTCATCAACTCCATACAGTTAGTGGTGTCTGGATCATAGAACGGAAAGAGGAGGGGGGGAGGAAAAACATAAAAAAAGGTTTCCACACCTCTGTGCATAAAGTAGTAACTTAGCACATTATTACCTGAAGCAGGAAACATATATACATCTTGGTCTTTACACAACCCAGGCCAAATTCTGCCACCCACTATATGCCAGTGTAAATCTGGCCCTGTGACTGAGAGTGGGTGCTGCTTCAATCCCACTGCCTCCACTCACCCCTTTATCATAGCTACAGGTATCTATGACATGTGGGAAATATTCTGCCACCATATTAGCAAACTAAAAGCCTTGAATGCAGTGTTTCACTTGGCTAGCTTTGAAAGTTAGCCTGCAACAGTCACAAAATGTTCAATCGGCTGATATATCTACATAAAAAACCTGGAGAGAGGGAAGAAATACGGCACTGTGCTATTGCACATGGAATGAGGTTACTTGTACAGCTCAAAAACATCTTTTAGACCCCAAAGGATAATGTCAAAGTTCCAACCTAACTCTGTCTCTCTTATTCAAGTGTAGTCTCTTACTCCTCTTGCTTTCTAGGTCACTATTTAAAGGCAGTAGAAGTACTTCTGGAAAGGGTGGCAGAATCTGGTCCGAAGACACTACTGTCCACTTCGTGTATAGCTCCCATTACCACAGCCTCTGGGTGCTTCCTACTGGGGTGTGATAAGCAAAAGGAGCTCTACATGTCAGCTTTAAAACAGAAAGGACCAGCCCAGTTGGACACTTCCATGTGGAAGCTGCTGACAAACCAGATCTGCTGCTGTCAGCCAGGATTCCCTTGCACTTGGGATCTAAATCATTGCGTTCATGGGCAATTCACTGCTGAGCAAGAAGCTACCAGTTAAAGCACTAAGCTCAGTCTCAGATCTCCTCTTGCCTGGGATCCTGATGAACACTTGGGTATTTAAGAAATATCTTTCTCAGAAACATGCACACATATGCTGAAAATCCATAACTGCCAGGAGGCTTTAACTACCCCCTGTTTGCTATAAAGTCTGCAGGACAGAGGGAAAGATAATTTCTCAGCATTCCTCCCCTTAAATATTGAGAAAAGTAATTTCATAAGAGCAGGAAGGGGTGCTGGATATTCTTGGGTAAGCTGAACCCACGCTAGAAGAGCATCTTTTCTGATGCAGCCAGGCCTGTGCTGTGTGGATCATTTACAAAATCATGGAGCAGAGAGGGCAAGTGCTTGGTCCAGTCACACTGGCCAAAGCATCTAAGCAGCAGTTATATGCTCTCCATCCCCAAGGCTGAAGGTGGGCTGGCAGAGGTCAGTGGGAGATGATACCCATGGAAGTTCTCTCAGAAAGGCACAAGATTGAGAGAAAGGGAGAAAAGGGTGGAGGTGAAGGAGAAGAGAGCATTCAAGAACTGGAACAACGTATCAGAGGTGTCAGAGAGGCCAGGAGTTTACCTGCCTTTGAAATTCTTTGGCTAGTCTGGCAGAGTGAAGACAGACTAATCTCCCAAAATACATTTCTCCCTGAAGATGCCTAGCAGATCTGAGAAGTGCCTATAGTGGCTGATTGGTTCAGTGACCAGAAGTCACATTCACAGGTTTGGATCATTTTTTTTCTTTAATAACTTGGAGAAGTTTGTTGTCTCATGCCTTTCAGTGGTTCCTGTCCAGCCCCCTCATAGTCAACTACACTTTGCTGTAATGCAGTGTGATGCAGATCTATAGTGGTAGAGCTCAGAGCATTCACCCAATCATTAGCAGAACTTAGCTTTGAAAGAACACGTAAGAGCAAAGAAAGCCTCAAATATGGCCAAAAGACTGTTTCTGACTCCACCCTCCAACACCTGGAATTTTCTCCTCAAGTGTATCCACACTAACTGGCCACTCAGTAACTAGCAGTCTGGAAACAAAAAAGGTCACATTTGGATAATATCAGAGCAGGTAAACATTGCAGCTAGTTACTAAGAGTCTCCTGAAACTGGTATTTCTGTTTCATTCTTAATTTTAACAAATTAAAAAATAATCATGCCTCCTTAAGTTAATACTGTCTTTTTTTCTAAGTCATTTGCAGTCAGCATAGGTCTCTTTAGTATTTAAAGCTAATTGTGTAACAGATCTACAAACATTCATTGTGTGATCAGAATACAAACTGACAGATCTACACAGGAGAAAAGGACTGTAACAGAGGCTTTTTGGCAGCATAACATCTTGGGCTCTTTACTCCATTTTATTCCTAAAAACGTAAATTTGCATGGTATGGTATTACTTTTGATGGATAGGGAATTTTTTTTTAAAATATGAGATCATGGAAAAATCAAAGGAACACTAATGAAACCCCTAACTTGTCTTTCTTAAAACTTTAATGCACATATTCATACAGAATGCATAATTCGCATTCTCTGTATTGCCATGGCTAGTCCCAGGAACTGCATAGGAATTTTTATTTGTAATGTCTTTACAAGACCTGATCAGACTGTTTTTCCCCAATTCCTAAGGCACAGTCAGCATGGGCACACCAGGACCAGTAGCTCATATTGCATTACTTAAAAGACTAAGTGTTAATGTGCCTTCAGCTTCTCTTTTATAATAATTACTTTAATACTTCTTTCATTTCCATCACATTGTAACATCTGCTTTAGTAAATACTCTACATGATAAAGTATTCCATCATTTTCAAGTAGAAATTTCATTCTAATTAGAAAGTCTTAGATTCTTGGCAGTCAGCTTCTGCTCATAGATACTAATCCACAACCCAGTGACTGTGGGATCCAGGTGTCATGTGAAAGGAATAAAGCCAGGGTCCAAAGGCTTTTAACTGTCTGGGAAACGTTGATGGGTCATGTAACTGCATTTTTCATGTGTCCTCTTTAATTTTTTAATTAAAGCATAGTAGCAGTGTCAGATCTCAATCCTTCTGATGATAAGGGAATTCCTTATTTCATAAAAATTGCTGGCAGTCCTTCACACTTTGGATTTGACCAAGACTCTTTTATATATGACATCCAGTTCAACTCATTAACAGATGGCAAATATTTTGATTAAAATAAGGCCTTCCTTCAAAAGGCCAAACAAGTTCTGAATCCATTAAAAATTGCCAGTGTTCTGTTGAATTTTCTTTCACGATTTTCTTTATTCTTTAATTTCTGCATTTCTATCCCACATAAATTTCACAATGAAGTCATCTAGTTTGTGATGCTTCTGATACCTCTGATTCTGAGACTTGTCCCAGCCCAGGAAATCTCACCCAAACAGCTGCTCCTCTGAGATCTCCAAATCCAGGGCTAGATCCCAGAAAGCACTGAGCAGCTCCTGCCAGATGCTCACAGTCCCCAATAAACAGGGAGGGAGATGATGTCAAGGGAGCCACCAGTTCCTCTGGTCCAAGGCAGTTATCATTCAGATTGAAATTCCCCAGTGTTAGTGTGCTTATTTGAAATTCTCTGTTCTCTTATCAAAACCCTGGAGAGTCTAGACTTTTTTCTACATGCTTGATTTCAGAACTACCAGTAAGTATTTCAGATAAGTTTAATGAAGGCTGTTCAGTAATAATACTAAGACTGTTCAGCAAAAAAACAGGGCTCTGCCAACCCAACTAGGCATTAGAGGGCACCTTTTGTAGGTGGGAACCTTGATAGCAAGATGAAGTAATTACTCCAGACACTACAGGAGTGGTAAGACATAAAGAGTCACACAAGATTGCAGGAAACAAGAGAAACTTGGGACCTGGATGAACCCCAGAAAAATTGACTTGTGATCCAGTTTCAAAATGGCTCTTGCAGAGTCCTTGTTTTGAGTCTGTAGCTGGAAATTCACCTTGCAAAGCACTTCATTTGCTCCTTATTCCCTTTTAAGTCTTGATGATAAAATCCTTTGCACATTTGGAAACTGAGTTTCTCACTAATTTTTTTGTAGCAATTTAGCCTACAGCTCTTGTGAGCCATAAAATACCCAGAAATCACAGATCAGTGTTCTATTGAGAATTTGCACTGCTCTATTTTGAAGCTAGATATGGTCTCTAAACACTTGTTTATGCTGATGAAAGGCACTTCCAGCAGTTATACTGAGATGCTCTGAGCTTTGAGATGTCAATGGTTAAAATCTGATATGAAGCCAATAAATACAATAAGGAAAGAGAAAACCTTTCCCAAAGAAGTTATAAAGGTTATTTCAGCATAGCTGATTGCCCAGAACATGGGAAAATGGGAAAAAATAAGAATATGCAGCACCCCACACTTAAAATCAAAGCTCAAAGAAACAAGGAAGTATTAGGGAAATAAAAATTGATACACTGTGAATGATCACAGATGGCTTTTGCATGTCCCTATTCACCAGCTGTTACTATTACTCTTTTGTGCAAAGGCATCAGAGAAAAACAGATTATGATTTAATGGAAAGAGTGTTGGGCTGAAACAAAGGCACAAATCTGAAATATCTTCCTCCATGGAGAGAGATCTTTTTATCCCAGCAAAGGACAGTTTGCCCAGGGATTACCTAAGTAGTTACACCTGAGTATAAGACTCCTGGATGGAGCTATAAGTGGATGAGAGATGAGGTTGGCTGCTCTCACAGACAGTGAGATTCACTCTTGATGCAAAAGGGACTGTCCTTTCATGGTCTTGCTGGGCTTAGTGGCTTTTGATACCAGTAACAAGTATACAAGGGCAGCTGTTCTGGTTTAGACCAAGGGCCAAAACCATCCAATGCTCCGTCTACATCAGCAGCCACAAAGACACGCAAGTATAACAGCAGGCCAAGCAGATACTTCCCAACACTGCCTTGTTCACCACTATCAGGTCAGAGATTTCCTGAGCCTGCTGCTGTTTGTCTGTTGAGCAATTCCATAAAGATTTTTCTGCCAGGGAGTTGTCTAGCCTCCCTGGGAGTAAGAAGTACTCAGGGGAAGATGAGCATCTGCAAGCTCCTCACATGCAGAACCTGCTTCAGTGAAGAGTTCCACAGGTCTTAGATTATGTGAAGAGACGCTTTCCAATATTTTTTTTGGTACTTGACTTCCACTACTTTCATATGATGGTCTCTAGTTCTTTCATTGGAAGAGAAAATGAACAATTGATCCCTATTTACTTGTAACTCATGCCAGTCATGAGTTGTAGACCTGGTACTGTCTCAGCAATCATAGCACAGAGGTCCTGAAACCTTAGATTAGAAAGCTGATATGTTGCACTAAATTTGACCAACTAAGCAGTGGCTTTTAGAAGTACTACATTAACTTTTGGAATGGATTTCATTTATTTACACATTTATTCAGGTAAGGGAGGGAATCTATTTTCCTGCTTCAGAGTATGCCAGAAGAAATATGCACAGCCAGTCTTAGAAAGGAAAAATGGAAGTGAACGAAGGGATATATGGAGGAAGGGAGATTACCAGGTGCTCAAGTATGACACAGAAACACATCTGCCTAGGTCAGGTACATAACAGGCTCACACACACACACACACAGATGCATGGGCAACATGACATCTACAAACACTGTTGTGAGCTGGAGGAAATGAAAAAGAGGGAAGTGCATTCTGAAACCCAGGCAAGCCGGCTCAGTGGGCTGGCATACTGCATAGCAGATCAAAGAGGGGCAGGAGAGAGAATGACTGTCAGTGACATATGCTTATTAGGCCTTGCTGTTCTGCTTTATACTGAGTTCATTGAATCTTCCCCTTTTGCAGGTCTCACTTTAAATGCATGCACCTTTCACAGCTGGTTTTCATCATCCCACCTGTAATGGCATCTGAACTAAAAGTCAGGAGAAACAACTACAGAGGAGATGTCTGTGTACGATGAGCTGGGAAAATATCCAGTGCTGGACAGTATTGCTGGTTAGAGACAGCAATACACTCAGAGCACCAGAGGAGGCAAGTCCAAGTGAACTGTGAGCTCATTCTGTTGCAGCGCTGGACTGCCTACAGAGTATCCTCAAACCATGAACCTCAACAGGAGCCCAACCACCACAATTTCTGTGAGCTGTTCAGAGCTGGGCATGTGGGAGGGTAAGAGAAACAGAGAAGACTTTGCCTTGTTTCTAGTGAGAAAAGCTGATTAATTCCATGACAATTTCTAGGAAGCTCTTGCACACATCTTTCCAACTACAGACAGCCAGCTAAGCAAGGTGCTGAATGCAAACTCTGCTGTTCTTTATCCCTTTTTTCTTCCCCTTACTCTCACTGACTGGGGATGTGAACCATAGGGCCTCTTTACTTTGATGCACGGGTTGTCTCTTTTTGGTAACAATCCTTTTATTTCCCCTCCCTTCCTTTTCTCTTTTCCTTGTACTCCACTCCAATCTAAGATTTTCAGGTTGACTTCTCTCATTTTCAAGAGACTTGCATACTCCTGACCAGGTCAGGTGATGCGGTACAGAACAGTTTGGCACCCTGTCTCATGAGCTGTCTTGCCTGGATAACTTCCCACCCAAGGGAATTCTCATTTTTAAATTTCAAGAGACCATTAATTTTGGTTTTGCTCCATGTGGAGTCACCTATTTCACTCTGGCTTTAGAGATCAGGCTGGGTTTTCCCTGCTAGAACAACATATTCTCAGGTTGTTTTCAGCAGTAGAAATCATGTGATTTTTCCATTCCAGAACCAGAGCAAAACTATAAGTCAGATACATTTCTCACAGCACAGTTTGCCCATAACATCTCCCTGAACTTTAGTCAGTTGAATGGTTTTTATTCCTGCTATAATATGACTTTCTTAGGGAGATATCTTGCCTCACATGCAAGTGTGCAACAGGGTTCAAGTCTTTCTAGAGAGCTGCAGTAGCTAGGACATATTAGGGTGAAGAAGTTAAGAGAGATCCTCAAGTTATTTACTTTTTAAACAATTTTTTCCTCACAGGAAAGTAAGAGTACACTTCCTTCTCTAAGAAATAAGGAATGCTTGAATATTGTTCACATATCAGGAGTAATATGAAATACACTTACAGGATGCTTTTCTATCTAATTCCCCTCACCCCCACTTAACCCCAGCATTTCCCAAGAGGAAGAGCTGGCAGAAAATTCTGGCTGCTTCCTTGAGTTTGATTTAATTTCTAAAGTCCAGACAGCAAAAACCTCAATCAACCACAGTTGTAGCGTCCTCATCTTCCCTGTTTCCGAACAGAATAATCCATGTGCTGGGCACCACTGCAATCCAGCATGCAGAAGGTCAGGCAGTGCTGGAGGCCAAAAGTAAAGTGGACACTGAACTGAGCATACTTCTCTGTCAGGTACTAAGCATACACACTTCTAGATGGAGTTATTTTATCTTCAGCCGCCAAAGCCACACTGTTAGACCAGAAGGATGTAACCCATATGTGCAATGAGCCAAGGACATCTGGGATTTAATTGCAGGATGCAATGCCAACCTAACTCCCACACTTTTGTCTTGGCTTGTTCACACAAAGGTCAAGCACGGAATTTGGCTCTAAAGTATAATATTTATTTACTTCCTTTTCATCTCCCACTCCTCCTGACTCTTTCTCTCCTTCCTCCAGCTTCTGCTCTCTACCTTGCTCCTATTTATTCCCTGTATCTGCACATTCTTTCTGCTTCTCCCTATTTTTCCTTCCTTGAAGCATTCCCAATAGCTCATCTGCTTTAAGTTTTCAATTTTCACCTTCTTCTTTGTTCTGCCCTTTCAAAGGAGAGAAGAATTAACACTGATATTTTTTGTCTGTGCAAGCACTAGTGTTCAGAGTGAACACTTGCTACATGATGGTGGGATGAAGCCAGTTTCTGTATTATCAATTCAGGCTGCCTGCACATTCAGATTGATGTCACTGCACAGGGTAACACACATAAGGATTTCTCTACCACCATGAGGAATTGAAATTTACTTTTCAAATAGGTAAAATATAGCTTTTGCAGAACCTTAGTGCATAATTTGTGCTACCACAGTATTGAGCCAAGAATTTGATCACACTACTGGAAACTATTAACCACCTTCTGACCATCTGTTAATGGCTAAGTTAAAAGTAGTTCTCAACTTTGTTCTGAGACCCTCTGAAGCTGGAGTTTTCTAAAGCATGCCTGAAGGGTTTGAAACTCAGGTATCTTCTAGAGCATGTCCCTATTCTGGGATATTTTGGAGCTGGAGAAAATCTGGAAGGTCTACTGATGATGCAGCTTTTGATGGAGAAGTGGGCAAATGGCTCTTTGGGCGGGCAGAGGGCAGAAGCTGTTCAACTGGGGAATGCACTGGGAGCACTGGAGTGGGAATGAGAAAGGGAGGAGTAGGGTGGGTGCAGGGAGTTACTGCTCTGTCCGAATGGAGCTCGTTTATTGCTGTGATCAGAGGGATGGCCTCCCTCAGCCTCCTGGTACCGAGAGGCATTTCACCTTCCTGTCCCTGCTGAAGCAAGGTGCTCGACAGTAGAAACTACTTACCTGATAACTGCTGCACTGAAGGCTGGTCATGTGTGCTTAACAACTGTGCCTGAATGGTTTCTACTACCCTCTTAAAGCGACGGCTTGGACCTGTGAGGAGAGAAGAGGCACAAATGGCTGTGAGAGGAATGGGAGTCCATATACAACCCAGGCTGGAGGGGAAGCATCACAAGTATCTTCCCTTCAGTCTTGTCCCCAGGAGTGTACTGACAGTGTCTCTGTCCTTCAGCCAAAGGGACTGTGGTGTGCTGAACTCAATAGGAGGAAGAATGGCTTCTGGGCTCCTTTTGTGAAGGCATAAAAGGTGGTGGGGGGGTTGTTTGTTTTAAACCCTGGAGGGGACATGTGGCCACCCAGAAGAAAAAGGTGAGTGAATGTTTCTGTCAGAAGGAAGAAACTAGAGGCCTCACAATGCCCTGCTGAGACTCTGAGACTTTTGAGTGAAACACGGAGACAGTACCATGAGATATTCCAGATCTGATGTACAGAGCAGCCATTTTAGCACTAATCGTGGAAGTGGTAACTTCACCTTTTGGGAATCTCTTTCCCTGCCTGCCACTTCCATCGCTACCAACACTATTTTGTTCCAAATGTCCTCCTTTCCCTTGTCTGAATTTTCCCCCTGAGGCTAAGACAGTTATATTCTTTCCTCTGACAGAGCAATTTGCAGGCCTCTATTATCAGCAAGGACAAAGCCAGCTTGCACCCATTTTAGAGCTTTGCCATGGTTACCTGATAAGAGCGTGAAAGTGACAGAATAGATCCCGTTCTCCTTTTGCGCCTCTCCCCCTTCTGTGTACGTTATGTCCACCTGGAACTTCACTGGCTTCTGGAAGACAGCAGGACCTCCCGTGGATTTATATTCTGCACGGAAACTTGTCTGTGAGATGACACTGTGACTGAGACTTGGAATCTGAAACAGGTTGGTAGAAGAAGGTAGTAGAACTAGTGCATAAAGTGAAAAAATTGCAAAATTCTATTTATAACAACACACATTTCCAGAGTGGATAACATTTGCTAGACCTGCTTCTGGTCTTGAATTCATAAAGTACAGTGTTCTTGTGAAATCAGTAAGACTGTAGATTGCTTGGCACCACAGAAGAATGCACTGCTGCTTACAGGACTGATCCAAATTTAAAGGTTGAATATTGGCGGAATACCCATCATGCTTATAAATGTACACATGTTGCTCAACTTCATACACTCAGTCTTCCCTTTCCTACTCATCTACCAGTTTTGAGAAATGCCTTTTTCCTGAGTAAAAACTATTAAGAGACTGGGTAGTAAATTGGTGGGATATAAAAAGCACTCAAGTGGCCTGGTCTGATCTCACAGCTGATCCTGTTTTGAGCAGGAGACCTCCTGAAGACCTTTCCAACCTCTAACTGCTTGGTGATTGATGTCAAACAGACATCAGGACACAGAGCAGACACTTAGACAAGCGCCTGAGATATCCACAGGGAAAGCATACCTGCAAATAACTCACCCAAACCATAACTCCTACCAATATGTAAAAGAACTCTGAGAAACTTCATTGTATCATGCAACATCTGTATCTTCAGACTCATGGTGGAATTTCATAACTGCCTAACTTTCAAGCAGTTACCATTCGCGCTTTCTGCCAAAATGTAACATACTCATATTCTATTTACTGCTTCATAAAGGACCAGATTAAAAAAAAAATCAAATTTAGAAATCTGGTCTCTAATTTAGAAGGAAAAGCAAAGATGAGTTCTTTGAGAAGCTGACTTTAAGGACTTAATTAGCAGGTTGTGACAGTGCATTTAAGTTTGAAGGTTGCTGAAAGAGACGACTCACTGGTTTTGCACACAAATCACTACATCACACCTAAACCCAGACATGTGGGATATACACAGAATCACCACTACAGACAGCAGTGCATGCTATGCCCACAATATAAACCCAGAAGCACAGCTAAATGCATGAAACTGATACGGTAACGTGGCTGCTTCACATCAATCTGAGATGGACACCAGTGTCTGATGCACGCTGCTATACTGCATTTACTCCTTGTACGCTTGTATAGTTACAAGGGCTATGGCTGGTTTTTTGGAAGAAATTCATTGCATCATGATCCTCTGTGTTTGTTACAATAAATAAAACACTGTTCTGGTGTCACCTTGGGGGGGTTCACACCTTGCGGTGCCTCTGTGTGTGTTGGGGGGGGGGTCCCAGGGCCGCTTTGGGAGGGTGGCAGAAAACCCAGACTGGATTTCTGCCAGAGTACGGAATGGGGGAAAAATGGGGACTGGATTTTTTTCTGGAGTACAGCATGGGGGAAAACCCGGAATGGATTTTGTTGGATACGGAATGGGGGAAAACCCAGACGATTTCGGCCAGAGTACAGAATGGGGGAAAATGCAGACTGGATTCTGGCCGGAGTATGGAATGGGGGAAAATGCAGACTGGATTTTTCCAGAGATTGGATTTCAGAAAAAAAAGAAAAAGGGTTGGACTTGATGATCTCAGAAGTCCTTTCCAATCCAGCTGATTCTATGATTCTATGATCATAGAGATTAAAATGGAGTTCAGTATCTTATGGAAAAAAATCAACAAACTATATAAGAAATTAAATCTCCTTCTCTTAAAGCTATTAAAAAAGTCTAATTATGTTGTTGACTACCTTGAACTGAAAAATCTCTTAATTTAACTTTGCTGTGCTTTTTCTTCACTGGTACTTCTTGACAATGATAGCAAGGATCTTCTATAGGAAAAAAATTACAATTTCGCTCTCCTTTCTTAGCTTGTATATAAACTGCATTTGCAACATTTGATACTCCAGTCACCAGAGGAAACAACCCTTCTTTCTGCCATACAGCACTGAAGTGGAGATTTAAAGTAACAAATGCAGATGTAAGACAGGATTTTTGTCTGACTGAAGTGGTGGAGGGCTTACCCAACAAGGGAAGACCCAATCTGCTGCCCAGACCAGTAACTGCAAGGTTAGTTTGACAAAGGAGCAAACTGCTGTCTTGATACGTGCCCAGACCAGTGTGCTCTAACTGCAGTGTTATTCCAAACACCGGCAACCTGGAGACCTTGCCAAGAAGGCTGAAATCTCTTCTCACCTTAGAGAGCATTATCTACACTTAGTAGTTCACACAAAGTCCAGTGGAGGCCTGAATCGACAGGTTATGTACATTAAACCCACAGAGGCTGCACCTGAAGGAGCAGAGACCCTGTCCAGGAACATACAGCACAAGGAGTCCTGGAACTGACCAGAGGGCAGTGCCTCCAAGAGGCAGCTGGGATGACTTACCGAGAGGAAAGCGTGGACTATATCAGCCTTAATGGAGCTTAGTGGTTTGTCCTTAATGACCACAAAAATCTGTTCTTCTTTCTCCAAGTTGATGAAGTTACCGAACCAGGATTTTTTGGCAAGCCTGATGTGATGAAAAGAAAGAGATGGTTTAGAGTACTGAGTACTATTTCTTATTTCTTAAACACCCCTAGCTGGAAAAAGAATTAAAAAATACACAAGAAAGTTTTGATAACACTCCAGATTTGATGTTATTGCTAATAGTAAGTGGAAAATAGTGTCAGAGAACATCCAGAACAACGTTTCGCTTAGTGAAAACTGGTAAAATGACAGACCACACAGTCTTAGTCTGGCAGCAACAATGAAAAATCAGGAGGAACAGTAACTCTTTTGACTGAGCCAATAACCGATTAATACTGCATATATAAAGCCCATATAAGCCAGGGGACACACTTCTGGTTTGTCTCCAGGGAACTATTCATTTCATGTGACAATATGCAGATCCTGGCAACACAGAGATTTAAGTTCCTTCCCACTCAATTTCAACTCCTTTGGTGTTATAGGACTTAAAAAGTTCCTTTTCTAAAGGTGTCCTGTTGGGCTGATGGTACAATCACAAAATCTTGCTTTTTAAAGCAAGCTGTAGATTTTACCAGACCTCCAATCTGTCAGTGAGTGAAATCCACTCCCACATAGAGGGTCAGGACAAAGACTGTCCCATTCATTAGTCTCATTCAGGGTGTCTATATAATGAGTGAACTCTGGTCATCCTACAAAGGAATGAAATTTCAGTACTAAGAAAGAAGATGCCAACACCATGCAAAACACAGTTCAGGCTTTCCACTGACAGCAGTCCAACTTCACAGTTTCTTTCAGCATCAGGTAATGGTTTCACCATAAAATGAAATTGCTCTGTTTTTTCACACTGATCGTATCAGTAAATGTTTGATTTTGCTTATTGTTTTACCAGTCCACTTTGTTGACATTACCTTTTAAGTTAAACAGGCTAAAGGAAGAATTCAGGGACATAAATTTTAATGGGAGACACTACCGAGAAATTGAAGGTAGCATCTCTGACAGGTGTGGTCTTGATGGGAGAGAAGATGCTGTTAGCCATGAGACACAGCCAAAGAATTGCTAGACCAAACTAAACCCAGGGAAAATTCCACTTCCATAAGCCATATTCTAGTAGGGAAGAATTTGGCATGAATGTGTTAGAAATGAAAAGACCTGCCACTAAGAGACTGCCTTTCTTTTCCTCTACAGCATACTTTATAATGCCAAGTCTGGTTTGAAGTATGGCACGGTTTTCACTCATTTTGGTGAACATTCACCACTGAGTGGAAGAAGACAATCTCTCCAGACAAGGAGAGCCATCTGCAGAATGGATTACTATACATCAGTTTTACAGCAAAGCAATGAACAGCTGGAGTGAGTTATTAGTAGACTCACTTTCTGTGGCAAAGGCTCAGACTGAGGCAGAACAAGGATGGGCAGAGACTAGGAGAGAGAGGAGCAAACTAAGAAACTAATTTGAAGTCTAGGCCTTCAGGATAAAGAACAAAGCTTGACCTCAGTATTGTCCAGCAATTTGCACTCATTCCCCATTCCAGAGTGCTCCATGAATAAGTCAGCTCACAGCCCATTTAATGCACGCAGTAGAAAGACCACAACTGGAAGACCACTCAGCTGGGCAAATAATTATTTGCTTCGTTTACTGTAGGCATCCAAAAATAAGAGTACAGAAAGATTCACTTGTAATTTGGTAAACCAGTGCCCCCCACTCAATTAAAGTGGGCTGGAAAACTGTCACTCCCTAAAATATTCATAGGCAGCTGTAACTAAGCCAGTGAGCCAGAGATTAGCATAGGGAGCAGTAAAGAGAAAGGGCCTCTCATTTAAATGGTCGTTAAGGAGCCAGGGTTAGAGTGTGAAAGAAAATTACATACTAATTAGCTCATGTGTCTCGCACACACCATAACAACTCTGCAAGCCCCTGGAGAGCTGGGGCAATAGCTCCCCACATGTAAAGGGTCTATGCTCATTAGTAAATTAGCACCTGGTTATCTATCTAAAACGGCTGGTTGTCTTAGGCTTGGATGTATCATTATCTGAACCAGGGTTGGCAATACAGACTCCGGGGCCCAGTGGAAGCATGGGCCTGGAAAAGTGTGCATATTTAATTGCAGATCTGCCATGTTAAAATATGGCTTTTCATTTCTGTATTGTCATTAATGGTTTTGTTGGCCCTTCATTTAACAAGCCCAGGTAAGAGGGGCCCAGAACATAGGGCGGTTTTTTCCCGTTCAGCATGGTCTGGAGTCTCCAGAATCCAGCTGGGCTCTTTTCCTCGGCAAGGTTATCACCCATAATACTAACTCTGGATGACTCATTGCTAGCCTGGGCTACGCTCCAGCTTGTAAATCACTGGAATTCACTAAATAATTTTGCTGGTGTCGCATAAGATGGAGTAGATGCCAGTGGCCTCTCCTGTTTCTGTAATGAACAGAATCAAGACGTAGCACACAGGCCCTGGCTTCTACCCCTGAAACTGGCAGAACTAGCTGTACTCGTACACCTGGGGAATAGGCCCACTGAAGAAGAAGGGACAGCTTTGGAGTAAAATGACACAATAAAGGTTTTTCTCCTCTTAGAGAGCATTAAGTGTTACTAACTTGGGTTAAAATGTGTACGAATCAATGATCTTCAGCACGCTGAATGAGATGCTCTAGCATCTCACGAGATCAGGCTGTAAGCAGTACAAGATGTACTTAAAATAAAGAATCTTCTCTTATCATGGCAAACCTCTTAAAGGGGGAATGAGATAGGAGATATGTGGGGGAGGTTGGGTATGCAGATTACACTAGGGAATCTAATCAGGTGCCCAGTTGATGAAAAAGCAAAGAAATTAGCATGCAAATGGAAGCTGGTGCTTTATTATTTCACACTGAATTTCTCACTGCCATAATGTTGTTTCTTTTCCTACTTTTGGAGTGTCTTGACTACATTGCCCTCTGGAGAGCCTCACTGTGTTCCCTCTCTATCCCTGAGCACATGGATCTGTAACCTCCAGAGGTTTACCTGCTTGGCATAAATAACAGCATTTCTACTTAAGCAAATGGAGCTTTGCAGGTTTAAAGCAGATGGAGCTGAGTCTCTTTAAATGTCATCCCGAACACATTTTCTAGGACTTTTTCACATGAGAAAGAACAGCATTACCCAGACATGTCAAAGTGTATTACCTAATCATCAGGTTTGTTAAATGAATGGCAGTCATTGCTGTACCAGACAGAGCAAGGACATATATTTATCACTCAACCCATGAGGTCAATACAGCTCTTGATAAGGGTATCTTATTTCTTACAGAAAGAAAGAAAATACTAGAAAAAATAAGACATGGGAAAGTGGACAGTGAGCAACAGACATCTATTGTTAAAATATAATCCAGTTCATTATTTTTTATGACTTGTGCAGCCCAATTGAACTCATTAATTTGGCAATTATACAGAAAACGAAAAAAGGGCCTTAGGCTTTGACTTGCATCCAAACTGCCTCAAATGACAGGCACTTCTCTACACCAGCTTTTAAAGAGTGAGTGGGAAGCAGAGAGGGCAATAAATTAACAGGAAAACTTCCAACAACTTACATACAATGAAGAAGAGAAATTTAATTCTAAAAGGTTTTCTGTTTTAATGGCCTTAAAAACATGTGAGATGCGAGTATTGTATATTTCTTTCATAATGATGTGCTAATTTTATGAAATTCTCTCATGCCTCTCTATTAGTAAATGCTCAAAAGTGTCGAAAACACAATATATTCCATTCTTCTTCCTGGATTTCTGTTACTAACCTTTACTAATCCCTATTTCTCCCTCTTCTTAAGTCTTTATCTCTCTCCATTATGCAGTACTGCATGTAGAGTACACATTTTACACCAGATAAACACCAGGTCCAGGGAAAGTTGTTAAGACAATACCACAGTCACCAATTACAAAACTTTGTGCCCAAAATTTTCATCCAAGACTCATGAATATTTCATACAAGCATCTTAACAAGAGGCCAAATTGCCTTGGTTGGCAGGGTAAGTCTATGGGCATTGGGTGCACAAACACAAGCTGTGAAAATAAAAAGGAATAATTTGGCATCTGTTGCATATTAGGAAGTGTTTGGAGCAGCACTCTGGCAGGGACTTCCAAACCTGCCATGCAGTGACGCATATTTGTGCAGTGAAATGGCTGAAATGTACATTGACTTTCAGGAATGAGTCTGGTGAATATGAAATAGCTTCTCCATGTCCCAGTGCTGCTGCCTAGAATTAACACTGCGTTTAGTATCGCAGCCAAAGATTCCTCTGAATTATCTTAGCAGAGGCTTCTGCATGTTATCCTGAGGATGCACTCTCCTGTACTAAAAGGAAGACTATTTACTGCATAGTTAGTGCCAGTATAAGCCACAGATTAGCCTCTCCACACCTGAAGAGGGATCTATTTGACAAGCAGACGAAAGAAAAGAGAAGGAACATGTTACAAACCCAGCAAATTCAGAAAGCCGTGAGAAAATGAGGTGGTTACTGGGAGACTGTTTCATCACCTGTTGACCCCCAGTGCCATTTCTGAAGTATAGATTTTATCCAGGGTCCTTATCAGAAGAATCATTTAACATCTCTACCCCACCCACAGGAGAACAGGTTACAGATACTGATCTAGAACAGAAATATGTCAGCCTATGACACTGAGACAAGGAAATGACATTGGTATGTGGTAGAAAAAAAAAGGTAGTGTTCTGGCAAATTACTTACTCTGGGGATGATTCTGGGGTTAAATTAGACATCTCCTCTGGTGTAGGTACTGCCCATGCACATACAGACGAAGAGAGGGAAGAAGAAAAGAAATTGATGATTCAGTACACCTTTCATTTTCTGCTTGTATACCAATGAAACAACGCTGGCATTGCACCCTCTTGCATTTGCCCACTGCCTCTGCAGACTGGTTCTGACATCTGAACACTGGTCATATGTCTCTAGATCACTGCATCTAATCAAGTGCTGCATTTCAAGGCTCACTTCACCCTTCCTTAAATCATTATGCAATCTTGCACTGGCTTCAAACCCAAACACACTGCTGCAATTCTCTGCAGTTCTCTGACCATCTCAGAGACAATCTCACTGACCATCACAGCTAACTATTTCATGGCTGTGAGCTTCCTTTACCATGGGATCACATCCCAGTACCCTGAAAAACCACATAGTGTTGGGATAGCTGCTGCTGACGTCCAAGGATAATGCATGTGACTTCGGGTGCTCTTTGCCTGAATAGAGAAAGCCACCTGGAACTTGAGGAAGGAAATTTTGCACATCTCAACACTCTAGAGACTTTGAAAACTGAAGTAGGCCAGCAGATATGAAGACACTGATTGTATTAGAGAGATTTTTACATCAATTACCAAAGGTGGTAAAAGAAGCATTAACCAAGATCAAAAAAGCTTTGCTTCAGAAGGACAATTTTAGCCTACTGCCACTGGCTGTCTTTTTTTCAGCAGAAGGCTCAGCCTGTGGCTGTGGAGAGGCAGCAGAGCACAGCCACAGGGGAAATGGCAGAGCTCTAAGTTCACTTACAAAACAAGTGAAGAATGTGAAGATAACTTATTCTTGTGGTCTAAGAGCCACAACAGAGATCGTACGAGCTCTATGCACGGAGTATGAAGAGGGCTCAGGAGATGCTCTTGGAGCAGGTACAATGGCATGACAGAGCCTGCTCACATGGGGATTAGGGCTTGGCTGATGCTATCACTCTCACTTTCATATCAATACTCAGTCCTTGCTAGATGGAATTTGCAGAGCCAGACAGGTATCAACTTCCTGACGAACAGCTGCCCAAATGAGAACCACCTGTATGTTTGGGTGGGTACTCACCTTGTAATTTCCGACGATGGAAGCGAGGAGACCCCAGGAAACTATTCTTGATGGAGTTGAGCCGTGTCCTCCATGGCATTCCTCCAATGCTGGGGCTGGATGGTGGTGTTGGGTTGGGTGTGCCTGCTGGGCTCTCCTTTGGCGTATGAACAGGTGTCCCCTTGGGGGTAGGGAGGGGACTTCCCCTTGGAGAGGGGTGAGGGGTGACCTGTATGATGGGGATAGATTTGGTGCTTGGGTCAGTACTAGAAGGGAGCAATCTAACAGGAGACATAGGGTTGGTCTGTACTTTAGGAACAGCCAGCTGTGGGTTAAAGCCGGCAGCAGGCGAGCGGCCCTGAGCATTCTGCACAGGGTTGTTCTGGGAAGAGGGGGCGCTGGCATTGCTGGTAGGGAGTGGGTTGGATTTAGTAGACTGGAGTGGTTTTTCAGCCAATTTGCTCTTGGATGGCAAAGTCTGCGTCTTTGGGTTGGGCTGAAGTGCTGGCTTTGGTTGGAGTACATGTCCAGGCCTGGAGGCGTTCCTACAAGCATCAGGGTCCAAGGAGACTTGGGGTCGGGGAGAGAAAGGGAGGTCGGAGGTCTGAGGGGGGATGAAGAACTTTCTGATAGGCTACGAGACAGACGCAGAGTGTCCATGCACATCAAAAACAGTGAAATACGCATAGAGCGGGCGAGCAGAGAAAGGAAAGTCAGAATAAAATCCATCCGAGTCACAAAGATGCACCATGTCACAAGGAGACACAGGAGATGGAGGTGAAGGGGTAGTGGGGGGAGGGATTTTGCAAAGAAACGAAAACAAACAAACAAACAAAAAACAAAAAAAAGACATGCAGTTAGCTGGGAACACAGCATAATCAACAACAGCAGCAGCGGCAGCAGCAAGAACAACAGTGTCATAACAGGCTTCATCATATTAACCAACCACGTGTCAGCAAAGGAAAACAACAGAAAGAAAAGTACAACAAAGGAACAATAAAATAAAATAAATTAAAAAAAATAAAAAAAGAAAGTAACTAAGAAAAAAGAAGAGAGAAATGCCATCTCTCTGGGATTGTTCTGATTGCCCTGCAGTGTGAAAAGCACGATGCTGTAGGGAGGTGAGGAAGGGGAAGAAGAACCACTCAAGCCACAGACAAACTGAGATGTGCCAAGAATGGGACCACCTCTTTCAGCTCCATGTGCCCATGTGCAAACCCAGTAGAGAGATGAAACTCAGAACAGGTGTGTGATACATAGGGAGTGGCAGGTGATACACAGAGTTACTGCACACACCAGTCAGAACCTCTTTCCTTCCTCTTTACCCCTGACTGGCTAATGCACACCCGAGTTGCAGCCACCCATTGCAGAAAGAGGAGGAAAAGGGAGAGTAATGCCACCTGGGCACCCACTCTCCTCTCCTGACCTGGAAGGTTAAATTTCTCCAGCATTCACTTGGAGGCTTCAGAGCATGAAACACCACGAGAAAAATTATGAACTCAGATTGGTGTTTGATTTGTAAACTGCTACAGCAAAAACTTCAGTGAGGCCTAGCAAATTTATTTATCTGGGAAGAGATTATATTTTCCATCAGACTTTATGCTTCTCCTGCAACATCCCTCATTGCATCGAAGGACAGCCTGATAATTGGAATTTCTGTCATAAAATCTCAGCAATATTTGCCATTAAGTCTCAAGTCTAAGAAGAGGGTGAGGTGAGCTACTGTTTTGTAAGACACAGTTTAAAAAGAAAATGACAAGCAAAGTTCATAATCCATCACAGAGTTATCAAAATGAGATTATGATTTTTTTTTCCGAAACAAGAATATTTACACATATTAAGAGGCATTTTGGGAAACCATTCATACGTTGACAGCAAACAGCAATAGACAGACTTGGAAGGGTAGAAGCCTTTTAAAGGGATATTAGTAAGCTAAAAATCACATTTAAAATAAAACAAATGTCCTTACAAAACATTGGTTGTTAACACCTTAGATTACAAGTACTGGAAAAATTGTAAAAATAGAAATTGCTATTAGAGATATTTAGCTTTGGTCTACACTTAGATTATGATTTCTATAAATTATTACCTATGAAAAATGATATATCACCATTATTATTATCCATTCTTAACACCTAAAAGCTGCAATCAAGCACTGTCCAGACATACCATGTACATGTAACCATGCCTCAAATTTCAGTCCCATGTAAGCACACTTACTAACTAGGGAGTTTACTTCCTGGGTTTGATGGATTAGTACAATGTTGCCATACTTTAAAAATTGCAGAAATTTATTTAAAGCTTCATTCCTGAAATTGTTTGCATTAAAGCTTTGTAATTACTTCAAAGAACTTAAGTTAGGCCACCAAAATTAAAAAAAAAAATCACTACATCAAAACATTTGTATTATTATTAGGATTGTAAAGCTAAACTAAAATCTGCTGTGTTGGTAAATTCTGATTGCCGATGGGAAACGATGGGGAAAAGATGAGGAAAGTGGTTATCTGTGGAAGTCACTACCAGCACCTGAATATTAAACATTTGCAAATGACATCAATGCATAAAAGTCAAAGACTGTTGATTGCAAATGTCTCCTTGCAATTTTTGTATCTTATGTGTGTGATGGTTTGAGAAACAAATATGAAAGTAACAAAAGTCAAATTTAACTCCCACTTGAGCCATTAGGAATCTGAAGAGGCACCCTTAATTACCACATTCTTAATAATGAACTGAAGAACAAGATTACGTCTCTATTTCAGCTGGTGCCATGGGGAACACCATTAACGAGATCTTGTGAAATATAAGAACTTTTAGCTGCTGTTGAATTCAATTCCTCATAGAACTGAACCTAAGCACTGCATAAAATGAAATATGTATTTGCTTTTTAAAGTATGTTCTCTTTCAATAATCTAAGGTGCTATTAGATGTATAGGCAAGGACTCTTAAAAAAATATGATTTTTATTCCATTATTTCCTTTTAAGCCTCAAATTTTACCTGCCTTAATATATCATTATGATCTGCTGAAAATGACATTTGGTTGCTAAATCCCTTTGAAGACTATTTAATCAACTGCCTATTAAGTGATAATGGTAAGATACAGCAACTATGGAACAGATCTTGTCAACCCTATTCTTTGATGTAGTCCTACTGAGATGTCAGTAATTGAACCCAAGAGATCAACTGATGACATCAAGATTTAGGTTTGCTGCACTGGATGCTTATTTTGTGCACAAAACTGTTTCTGTGCTCTTTTTCAGGACATTTTGCAGTAGCATAAAAGTCCTCAGACCTCTGCTTGCTTCCACTGATAACCAGGAGCCCCAGTGCAGAAAGAAAGAAGTGGATCTTCACTGGTTCCTAGCACTTTAAAGGCACAGAGGAGACCACAAATACATTTATGCCAGTTGCAAAACAGGATAACAATTTTCAGGAACCTAGAATATCTTTCAGAAAACAGTTCAATCAAGCAAGGTGTTGGAAGCTTTACTAGTCTATAAATTTACACCTGACAGTGTGTCTTCATTCGTAAGAATTACACAGAATCTTCCTGGGGAATTATAATTTCAAATACCTGGAATACTGATGTTATCTTCCTATAACTAAGAGTAGATCCATAGGTGTATCTGTACCCTAACACACGGAATACATCCATTTCCAATTGCGGATAGCATCTTCTCATGAAGTCATGAAAAGTATGTAGAAACTCTCCAAAGACTCTGGACCAGACAATCAGGCAACATGGATTGCCACAGCCCTACAGACTCCTTGATGAGGTCTAGACTTTTGTAAGCGCTGCAGTCTTAAAGACGTTGTCAGGCACTAGAGACACTCACTTTAATCCCTAAAGAAGTTAACAAGAAGATGGAGGCCCCTGTCATTGCACTTAGAAACTGTAAACTTTGCAACACACGTACTGTGAGGCGTGTGTTGTACTAGCTAAGTATCAGTAAGTACCAGGATTTAGTTGACTGTATGATTAAAAAGGGCATGTGAAGGTACCTTATTTATAGGGGTTTGAATGTTCTTTACTCATCCTAGTCAGTCAACTTCTTACTTTCCTTTTGAATTTGCTAGCCCTCAAATTGTATAATTTATTTTCTCTGACTTTCTAATACAAGCTATTCTGAGGCAAACAGAAGACAACCAGCATGGTTTGGTGCTCTACTGAGACCTAATTGAAGACAGCTGTGAAATGATTCCTGATTACTCGGTCTGAAGCCACACTGTATGCAGACCTCAGCTGGATATGGCAGTGTTTAGTCATAGCAATGGTATTCTGTGTCCTTATGAGACTGAAAAAGGGCAAGGGCACAGTGAGATCCCTGCTAACAGTGCAGGGAACATGTATGAGAAATTCTCTGCTTGCATTTGTAAATAGCATTTCCCTCACCATCCGTGAAAATTTATAAGCTGCCAAGGAAAAACAAAACATCCCAGCTAAGAGCCACAGCTCTGGAGCAACAGATGCAGAAAGCATCAAGCATGTGTGAGTGAATTGGACCAACAGATCTTGAAGCAGCACCACTTACCCTTGGACTGCTGAGAGGACTGGTGGAGAGCCCAGATGATGCTCCGCTGATTGACCGAGACCTGAATGGACACAATAAGGAAAACATCTCTCAGAAAACTTGGACAAGTAATAACCCTGATCACCAGCCACCACAGGCACAGGCATGAAGTGAGGAGGAGGAGGGAGGCTGTCACTGGAAAAGCACACGACTCTTTCCTTTTCCTTCCTTTCACTACTGTCACATTTTTCAGTTGTCCCCCCCCCAAATCAAAGAAATGTTGTTGCTCAGGGAGAATACTATTAATCCCTTTTGATTAAGGCAGTTGCTAATTTCTTTTTGGACATCAAGCGCATGGAAGCTACTACATCTGACTTGTGCAAGTTGAACTGCTGAATTCAAAAAGATGGTGAAGACATTCATATTGGTGCTGAGAATTCTGTTTTGCACAGACCCAGTGATCACAGAATGAGACTTTCTCTGTCACGAGCAACATGGAAAAGCACCGTGTTCACAAGACACAAAGGAAGGGGATTATTCCAGATAATAATTAAAAAACAAGTCTCCTTGACCCAAGCACACAATCATTTTTTATGTGATGACTTCCCACTGAAATCAAAGATCACATTGGCTTAACCCTTTCCAGCGTATCACTGATGGTTTTCACATCTTTGTTCTCCAGCAAGATTTCTTGCTGCTGCATTAAACAAGCCAGGCCTTCTCAATGGATAATCAGTTCTGCTTTTGTTGATGACTTTACTAATATCAAGATAACAGCTCAAGTGCCCTCAAAAAGAGGTCAGTCAAGGAACAGTAAACTGCCCTATTTGCTGACAAGGTCACCTATACTGTAATGCTCTTATGCTCTCCAGCAAAGGCCACCGATGAAAAATGTCAGCTACTGACAAGAAAATGTGCAAATGTGCTATGCTAAACATGGTGAAAGAGCAGACAGGCCAAATTGCACAAACATTTCAGCACAAGTTTCTAGGAGGAGGGCTGCCCAGCAAAAAAACCCCACACCCTGTGTGTGACTGAACATGAGCGAGCCCCAGAGGCAGCTGCTTTCTATCCTTTTTAAACACAAAGTTGAAGACTGAAACATCTTATAGGAAAGGAGGTCACTAAGAACCTAGTTGTTCAACAACCACCATGCAACAATATGTTAATACAGCAAAACTAACAATGTTTCACGTATAGTAAGAGTCATGAAAGCAATTACTTGCCTTCAGGTAGCAAACACAAAAAGGTGAAATTCCTGTATATGCTTGGAAAATGGAGTGCATGGGTGTATGTGTATACATATGTGTCTGTGTGTACACACATGTATATATTAAAATTTTATACAGGTCAGATAGCTGATGTCGGCTTATACATAAAAGAAATTTAGACCATAAACTATGTCAGTTTACTCTCTTCTGCTGTAGAATAAAACAAAAACATCGGTTTCTCAGGTGGTCTCCCGACATATATTGCTAAAAATATTTGAGCAGAATTCTTAAAAAAATCTGTGAATGGCAAAAGAGGAAGTATTTCCAAGGAAAGAATAAGCTACAACTGAACACAATGGCATGTTCTGTTTTCTCTATTTTTATCATCTGCAGAAACTACTCACTGATGGTTTTCTTTGTATCTCATTGCAGTTTGTTCATCACAGTAAGTAGGTGAAATGCAGAACCCCAGTCTCGGCCAGATTAAATCTACATTGGTACCATGAAAATCTCAGGCACTCATTCTACGGAGAAACTCCCCACTTAAGTTTCTCTTCGTACCCTGCTGCACTCTGCCCATCACAGTGCAACAGTAAAAAACTAGAAGTTCACTCTTGGCATTCTCTTGTACTTGATTAAACCTAAATTTTCACCATCATGATCTGGGGCACTCATAAAGGTTTATGCAAAGTAATTTTAGGGGAAGAACCGTCTGCTCCACTTTTGAAAGGTTACTTTCTGTGCCTTTCCCCAAACTGAAGTAGCTGACTGCACCACAGATGTGTTGTGCAGATGGGGAGTAAATTAGTTAAAAATCTTCCTTGCATGAATCATCAGGAAAAGCTTCTTCCAAACCATAAATTAAAAGAGGACCCTATAGATTATCTTGGACAAATGTGGAAGGCATTCAGGTGCCCAGAAATGCAGTTAAACACCAACTTAGAGTTAAAGGAGGTGTTCCCACCAACTCTTAATTATGGTGGGAAAGTCCTCTCTGACACTCACCTGAATTCCAGGATACTCGATTAAAAGTTCCAATCTGCTATTTCCTTTTTGCAATCAGGTGTTTCCAACACTCCTGAATTCTCCCTTCCCAACCCTATTATCTCCTATTTTTTTTTTACAAAAATGATCACACACATGGAGGGCAAAATATGGCAGGCCCCACCTCCCAATTCCCAGTTTCTTAGCAATATTTGAAAAATTGTTGTTGTGTACTGTGTTTTCATCCAGCCTAGGAGCCTGAGGCAGGGGACATAAGAGAGAGTTAGTATGAAATCCTCTTGGAAATGCATTCAGTATCCATACGACTGCTTTATTTCTGCTGCTGATTTACATGCAAAATAAGTAAGAAGTAAAGTAGGCCCTATAGCAAGTTTCAGTTTGTCCACACTGGAAATTGCATATAGGAGCAGTCAAAAGATTTTAAAGAAACCTCTGTTAATTTTAAATGTTGAGGTGAAAAGAGCTCTACATTTTCAAAACTTTTCCTCTCTTACCAGAAAGTGTTGCTATGGGATATGACACCCAGACTGAGGAGATCTTCCTTGCATCGTTTTCAATTTAACATAATGTACCTTTATAAATGGGACATAGTTTCCAAGCTGACTATAAGAACTCAGTACCCTGGCCTTCTATGTGGTTCTATACTCCAGTACAAAAATGCTAACAGGCAAAAATAACAGATTTGTCCCTCTCATCAAGATCACCTTGGCTGAGCGATGCTATAATTCAGTTTGTAAAAAAACCAACCACATGCACTGCTCCTGTATCTCAGAGTCAGGTGGACAGAACTGGGATAGGGCCAAAAGAAAGTAATGAAAACGTTGCATTATGCTGAAATGCTGTAGCGAAAGAACAGAGAATTTAAATTTTTATCCCTCTCATAAGAAAATGAAAGTTTGAGGCCCTACCAGCAGCACATTAGTATGGCAGACTCTTATGTCTTATGTGTAGAAAGAGGAAAAAAATATGACATTACCTTATTTCCACGGCTATGAACTAAATTCATTCAGTGGGAAGTATCTGTTAGTGAATAACCTCCTAAGAGTCTTTAGAGGCATTAAATGTTACTGGATTTATTAAATTTATAATTATTCCAATAACTTAATACTAAATGCAACCATCTCGGAAACTATGAACATTTTGTATGACTCATTTTGCTCTGTGTTTTGCATTGCCGTATGCCTGCACACTAACTCAATGGAAGTCATCAAAACATTGTTGAAAATACAAGCAGAAGAATCAGTGCAGTTGCTCAGACAAAGAGCATTCCTTCAAACACAACTGCCACATTTAGAGACTCCAGGTGAGACTCTTTGGTCCCTTCCCTGGGAGCAAGTGACACAGTTGTTTTTCCAAGCCTGGAGGGAGGAATTAAAGAAAAACCATAAGGGAGCTAGACCCAAGGTTTAGGAGGGGGAAGATGCAGAGGGCACTATAAACATAAGGTGGACACTGAGACCATTGCAGGCTATTCCTCTCATTCCGCAGACTGACAATAATCTGGAGATGTCTGAGCTATGAAAGAGAGAGGCAAAGGACTGAAACAAAATGTGCATACGTGAGCTGTAGTTTGTAGCTGTGATGATTTTATACCTTATTCAATCTATTTGATACTTCAAAGCATCGAAGTTAAAAGGTCCTTCATTTTAAAGCATTTTTTTACTCATTTTAGCCAGCTGCTGTCAAAGAGGAAGCTGTGCTAGGCCCAATTCATGTCAGATCAGTGTTCTCTTACTGGCGAAACTGAGGGGCTGGAATCCAGTTTCCAGCTGGTTTCAGAGAACTGCAGAATTTCTTGAGAGCAGTAAGAGGGCTGAAGCCTGACACTGCTGAGGTGTAGACGGAGAAAAACACAAGACAGAATAATTGCAGCTGACCTGGTAACCGTACTACACATATAGCACATGCACAGAGCATCTCTACATAGCCCTTCTCTCAGATTAGTTTTCAAGTGCTTTAAACAGTGCATCTGCTCGTACACACCAGCAGAGCATAAAGGCTTCGCAGCCACATTTAGGTCGGATTCGGCATTTGTTTCTTCTTCGATAACCATTTCACAGAATTTTTTTCTTGCAATCAAAGGGGAGTTTGGTGCCTTGTTGCAGTCCCAGCAGAACTTGCTTTCATAACACAGTTTTACCAGGATGCTGAATACAGCCTCTTAGCTGGTCAAGCTGGAGCCATGCTTCCAAGAAGGGGAGCCAGTGGCATGCATGCAGCATGCAGTAATGCATCAGAATTGTGTCCCTGGGTGAAATGCCTTAGAAATTTTGAATTAGTTTCCATGTGTAGTTTTGAAACTCATTTCAAAAAACATCCAGCCATCCTCTTACTTGCTTCAAGCATAAACTGGGTGGAATTTGATACTCCTCTTTCCTTGCTTACTCAAACCCCCAAAAAACTAAACTGAATTTCAGGGTATGAGACCCCTGAAATTGACCTGAATTAATATGCAATAAGTGTGTTAAATTTCACCACTATTACTCTTGGGAGTCTAAAAGATACAAACTGTGCTTCCTTACTCCCTGATTTAGGGAATACGAATAGAATACCTTTGTTGTTTCACTGTGTTACAATCTCAAATGTGCAAATAATACTGTAACAGCTCTTACTTGGAATACTTATGCTTAAGTCAGAAGGTCTGCTCATGGTAATGACTGCTTGTAAGATGAAGCCTTACAAAGAGTACAGAGAAAGGAGCGCAGGTGTTGGTAACACACGCTTTGTCCTTTCAGTGCGTACAGAGGGTGATGCTGAACAGTACCACCCTCCTTAATTGGCCAGCTATACTAGAGTTCCATTTATAAATGGTTTAGAAAGAATTAATAAATAGTAAAGCACGCTACAAACATGAGAAGTAAATGTT